GATATGAATTACCCGACTGTTTGTAGGTCAATGCCGCTACAAATGTCAGTCAGGCCTATATATAGTTTCCTACTGCTCCTGTGCTTTGATAAATGAGTGTACTTTAAAAGCAAATTAGATTTTTTCAGTTTATTGTACAAGTTCGAATTACATTTGGAAAAATTAAATTATGACATATCAATACGATTAATAACTGAGGGCGTGGTCGCCTGAGAACAGGATACATATGAAAAGACTGGTTATTCCTGTCTCCATTCTGGAGAGGGTATCTCGAAAACGTGTTCTACAAACTTAATCACAGCAATTTTGTGGAGATTGATTAGATTTTCCAGCACTAAAGAAAAAAAGCTACCGAGTTTTTTTTTTCTTCTAGGAAGCAAGGTAAGCCTTAATTGTCGTATTTATCAATGATAAGATATTTGAGATTAACTGGACATTTTAATTAATTGCCTTCAAAATGCTTAATTTTGTCATTTCGAATAAAAGTTTGAAATTCTAAGTTTCTCTGTCATTCAATACCGAATATCAATAGCTTTTCTTAAAATTTTGAAACCACGTAATCTCAACTTTTAAAAGACGACTTCACATAAAATTTTCTTGATTTCGAAGGTTAAAAAGACAAATTCACTTTGTATTTTCTTGATTTCGTATGTAAATAGTTTACTTTCATAGATGTGACGGTGAACGAATTCTAGTTTATACCTTATGCGTTAAGGTGGATTAGAGGGCAGAGGTTTTGTATCGCTTGAATTTGTGTGAGAAATTCTTTTGTGCTTTCATTGTACTAAATTGTAATAGCAAAGAACGCCCTCTGTAGTACATGAAATGCATAAGGTCTATATAGGTTACGTGTGTTAAACATTAAAATAATTGATCCAATTGTTAAAAGTAAAAAGATGCAAAACTGAGATCGGTGTAGTATTTGTACAAGATTTAAGATCAGGAAGGACAATTTGACTTTTTGGCTATTTGTTACAAACGTTATGTTTTCTGAACACCCTCTCTTGAATTTAATGTTTATTTGTCGATATTGTCACATATTTCATATTAATTGTTAACACATTTCGTGTTAATTCAGAATTTGTATTGAGGATATTAAAGATTAAGTCTTTTGAGCGCAAATGCTCTGTATAATCGCAATTAAATGTCCGAGTTTTAGCGCATGCATGACGTGTTTTAAACATGCATGCCCCGCTCCACAAGCAAGACTAATTGTTTTGTTCTAACGATTTTTCAAATTGGCTGTGTTTGATTTTGACGTAAAAACTACTTATTTCTCTCTTCGCGGTGCCTGCTTAATTATTGTTGAGCCGCAAATAAAATTAATTTTGTAAAGAAATAATCCAAACGGCGAAATAAACTAAACGTCGGTGCATTTTCTGTTCGATATCTCATTCGAACTTGAATAAAAGTTGGGGAAAAAATCTTTTTCGAGGTGAAACTCGAGATAGCCCCCAAAAATGCCTCTTTAAATTATTCAACAAGATGACGAGATGTGTTTTAAGATCGGGTAAATACAACTTTTATTTTTTGTAAATCTTATCTCGATTTGATTTTACGTGTTTCTTGTTTCTTTATTTGAAATCAGTTTGCTTAATGACTATTACGTTTTTAAGGTTATTTATTGCTGCTTTGTAGTCATTTCAGTTTTAATGTAATTATGACTGCCCATGTTGTTTTAAAAGTGATTTTACTTTTAAAAGCAAAAAAACTTTGCCTGACTTTTTGTTGGACAAGACTGAGTCAAAACCACATTTCTGAAAATTTAACAGCGTGAAATATCACTAACATCATATTGAGTTTTTTTAGATTTTAAGTTTTATACAACCATTTTAAGTTTTATACAACCATGGATTTACTCTGTTGCCTCAAATCTATTAGTTGTTTAAGAACATAAACTGGTTGGCCAGGGGAACTGTCAGGTGACTGCGGATATCTTCTCTGCGCGGGTTAGAAAAAAATAGGTGTGATGGTTTTTGCCTTTGAAAAAAGATTATGTTCAGATCGAAACATAAGGCCATCTAATTTTGTTGATTACAATGCACCATAAAAAAATGAAATAAAACAAAATATCAATAAATTATTTCGCATTTCAATTTTCCTTGTTCAGCTTGGGAAGTTTTAAGGTAAATGGAATGCAGGGGGTTAGATGTACCGGCTGAGGACACATCCGGAACACATTATCTCTTTAAAATATCCATAGGCCAGTCAAAAATAGAGGCAAATAGACCCCCATAGACACCAATAACAATTCGGCCCAGGTCCAAACAAGGGGGAACTACTCAGAACTCTTACTGGGGATCAAGACAAGCAGCAAATCATGTCACAGCCTGTTTTACTAGCCGCTCAATTTTGGGGGTTCACAGATGTCTTTATGGTGATTTTTCCGTTCAAAAGTGATTACCTCTAAAAGCAGTCATGAAGCCCATCCTTTGCTTGATTCCTACACTCAATTGAAATATAGAGCAACTTTAGGGTCCAATTTAATTCCAAATGCCACAGAGATACAAATTGAGAGCTACGACCCTTCATTTATGTCATTAAAACATTATGTCATTTTTATTTTATTTTTTATTTTGAAGATTAATTTAAGTCTCAAAATTGAAGTGGAGTTAGTACATTTGTAAATTTGTGACAGGAGGAGTGAAGTGTAGGCACGAAAGACGGCAAGATGGGGAGGGCGATGTAACGGCATGACGTGACGGCCGGTCGGCATGACGTGTCGCCCGCCTTTCGCAATCCCTGGCCTATACCAAGGTTGTATATATGGTTCGCTCATAACAAAGTGTTTTCATCGTTTCAAAATGACTCAACTACAACCGAAAGCATATTTTTTGATTAGTTCTTATGATCCAAATTTTGATTTAAAAAAATGCCAACTCTTTCCCTAACATTGTCCAGAGTCTATTGTATTGCCCTGGACCCACTTACTAGTGTACCCTACTTTGTATTCTAAGGATCTTTTCCCATTTCCAATATTAAAAAAACCTCCCACTGAAAAAAATAATGATTACCACATAGAACTCAGTAATTCGGGTCAAGTAGTTCATGGTTATTGGTCCTTTGTCAGCCAGTTCCTAGATTGAATGCACAATCTGAACCTCAATGCTGAACCTGAACAATCTGAATCACAATGCTCACTGAGGGAACGTCACGTACGTGCACGTGCTATACAAACATCCTTTTCCTTTGTAATCATTTCTATACAAAACGCAACACAGCTCAACAATCCCAGACAAACTTCCGTAGTAAAAAAAAAGTACGTAGTTCTAGGTAATATTTTGAAAAAGATGCATAATTACAATCATCGTCTGATATTTTCGTCTTAGCAAAAGTGCATCAAAATAAGCTACATATATATATTGACATGCTTTAAGCAAATTCAAATGATCACTGCCCTGCAGAATTACTGAAATTAAAACACAAAGTCTGTACTTCACATCAAGTAGACCTCACTAATAATGGTTTTGTCTAGTCTGCTTGGTCATGTGATCATAGTTTGATCACGCCACTGTCTGTGACGCAGTTCACTGATGGATCATGGCTGGCTATTCAGCAGGATACAACCGATCTTGACTAGACCAGAAAATGAATACATTCGCACTTTACAGAGGAGTATTTGCCTGTTGCAACCAAGTACAAGGTTTTCCCACCTTGTTCTCATAATACAGGATCAGTGATTTGCCGGTACACCAAAGTATAGGTAAGTAACTATGGTGTATAAGTTATCTATTCAGTTTATTTTGCCCCCAAAAAGTGGGTCCAAAATTTACGGCGTTTGGGTTCGGGGCCCGCTCAAGGTCTCGGAAAATGTTTGGATTCTAGATGCTCTGCGGTGCGATCTGAGGCAATTTCTGACCACTTTGACCTTTTTTTTTTTGAGGAAAAGAGGAAAAGATGGTGGTGTACGCAGTGCCTGCCTTTATTGCGACGTCACTTAAAAAACAATGGGTTCGTTTGGGGTGGGGGGGGGGCATGACACCGTTGCCCCCCCCCCGGATCTGCCCTTGTTCATCCTTTGTCCCACAACACCTTTGACTGTATTTTATGTTTGCTGTGACGTTGTCGAGAACGTTTCTTAATGCCAAATTCCCTTCACATTAACAAGTATAATATTTAATATTATTCAAAAGGTAGCCTTATCAATTCGTCTCGCATACTGGACATCATCCATATTGTATTAAGGCCCACAGCATTGCGTGTTCAATTTCATGAAAGGTTTTGTTCCCCAAATTTGAAATGTAAAGACTGTTTTCCCACCCAATATTCACTAGAGAAAAACAAAATCTAATTGATAGTTATCCTATAATTTTGAGTGAAACACATTTTGCTGAAAATGACTTAATAATTCCGAAATGACTACAGGATTTTTACAAGATACCCACAACAAGTCCAGAGGTAGGAATATGATTTTCCTGCTTTTGTAATCAGGTAAGTATATATAGCTTTCATGGAGTTAAAACTCAGGAATTTTAGCGCTCATTGCTATGTGTGGCACATGATACGGGGGAAGTACAGCATTTGAGACACATGGGACTACCTAAAAAGGTGAATCTCAAAATTGCAAAACCTTGAATAGAGTGAGAACATTCGAGGCAAGAAAATAACTGACCCAAGACCAGTCTAGTCAGTGCATAAACAAAGTGTGCTGAAGGAAACACAAGTATACTATCTGCAGTGCATTCTGTCTACCGTTTGAACACACGACTACTCTATTTCAATATTTAAACTGAGACCCAAAACTTAACCTCTTAAGTATTAAGGATCTCAGCTTTGCCTCCAGAAATGTTGACTACATGAAGAGTGACTTACGCTGATTTTCTGCTTCAGTTGTCTCAGTTCAAGACGGACAGTGCATGCGATGGGAACCTGTTTGCATTGAGGACACACTAAGAACGCATAAAATCATCCGACTATGATTGTGACTTGATTCATGATTATTTCTCAGCTGATGCTTTAAGTATCGTCTTTCTCAATTCTGGACTACGAAGCAACGCAGTATGGATGGACCATCACGGGTTGCTGCCAGGGAGGGGGACACTCAGGATGAAGCAGGTCCTAGCGGGCCAAAGAGAGCAAAACACGAAACACCGGTATCTGGAGGTATGTAAAGGCTGCGTTTCATCCACTTCCCCTGCCTATTACCTAAATCTAAAGACCGGGTTTTTTTGGGGGGGGGGGGGCTGAGGGGGGATTTAGATCGGAGTTCAAATTTGAACCAGGTCCTATAAACCTGACATTTGTGTTTTTTTTTGCACTTTTCCGGGTCAAATTGACACTTTTCCGAGTCAAATTCACACATCTTTGACTCATTTTACGGGATCATCTGACCTGGCAAATGGTCAGGCCCTATATGACCGGATTGCGGGTCATTTAACAGAAGCGGATCTAGGGTGGAGGTGGGGCTGTCGCAAACCCTTTCCCCCTCTAAAAGTACAGAAATTATCTAAAGAAAAAAAACTGGGCAGACACTAATTTAGGATGAAAAATACATGTTATGTAGCAAGGACACCTAAGAGCAGGCCTCATGTGTGTCTTGTCTAAGTGCTGCTTATCTCCTGAATAGAACTAGATGTGGCTTGACCATGTTGCAACGGATAAAGAGTGACTTGTGGGCTTCTTACAGCCAACATGGGGACACACACTTCCACGAAAGCAATGGGAAGGGATATCTTATCTAAAACTACAATGATTTTCTTTTACAAGGGGAGCTACTCCTATGTTAAATACGCTAAAAATTGATAAAAATTTACAAAAAAAGTCTAAGGGGAAAGTAAAGAAGAACCCACTAACTTAATGGCAACTAAAAGCCTGTGTTCGCTCGCGCATGCCCAATGGTCTGGTCATAAGCCACTAGAGCAGTTTAGAAGTGTATGGTCGTTTTTTTATGAATGAGAAATGTATCAAACCGCAGAATGGCGTATAACAAATTGTACAAATGTACAAGAAAATAAACACAATTAATCTATCGTGAAGATCGTAGCTTAATCTATCTTCGTGAAGATCGTAGCTCAGTCGCCGACTGATTTTTGTCCTCGCGTAGTCGACCTGCGGGCGGCTTAACGGCAGTTTGCGAAATTAGTTCCGCTTATAATCATCCAGTTTCATGAACAGTTATTTAAAATTTGCAGCAATTTGATGTTTAGTTTTTTTGCAGCTAAACTGTGAGGTCGGCAATTTGACACAAAAGTTTGGAAAACTAAGTATTCCTATTTCTATTATTCTCTTGCGCAGAACCATGTTTACATGACACAAATCTGCACGAGGTCGCTGGGAGGCTTGGTTGTGATTGGCCAACAATAGCAGTTGCGCAGCTTGGCTTTACGGACACTGAGGTTAAGATCATCGAGAAAGATTACCAAAACGATACCATAAGGCAAGGTCTGGAAATGCTTGTGAAATGGAAACAGCGCCAGTTCACCG